ACAAATGTTGCGGTAAGCAAGAGTCGTCACCGGCTTTTATTTTATCCAAATTATGGAAAGGGTGAAAAGAACAAAAAAAGACCTTTTCGAGAATTTTCTCAGTAAGGGGGGTAGATTATGGAAAGGGAAGGTGTTAGCACCCTTTCCATCCGTAGTTTTCTACGGGCTCTTAGATGCTAGCTCATTTTTTAAATACCTTGTGCTTTGTATTTTTGAAAAGTATTTGAAAATGCCTTAGTGAGGCGATTTTCTTTGTGATAACTCTTGTATCAGTCCTCAAGAGTGTTGACAAAGCGAATATTTTTTAAAGTGTTTTTGAAATGTTTATGTGTAGGTGCAAAAGTTTTATTTTGAGCAAGCATCTAGGAACTATCGATTTATACTTGAAAAGTTTGTTCTTTTCCTCCTATTCTTTAGACAGTGCCATCCTACTATTAGTGAGTAGGCATCCCTATCGTTGGATGTTTGAGGGGCATTCGAAGGGACGTACAGTCATAAAGGCAACATATAGAGACGTTTTAGGAATTTTGTTTAAGGGACTAGATCATTTACCGAAAGGCAACTGTAGGGTCATCGAGGGACTATGATCTTTTGATTTACGGGTCTTTTGCTAAAGAGTCCCTATTCTTGAGGGACATGAATGTTTTATTTCCAAAAGGTAACTAAAGTGGGGTACCCTAGAGGTGTGTATGTGCAAGTGTGTTGTATTCAGTTATTTTTGTCTTTTTTGTTAGGTTTGCTAGCGTTTTTATTTTAATCTTGGCCATACAATCCTATTAGTCATACATCTAGAAGTTAATATGAAAGCAATAGAAAATGCGGAAAATAATTTTTCTACGCTATTACAACCAAATTGAAAGGCAAGAAAATGTAAAAACAAGAACAAAATAAAGAGGGGAAGTGAGTCCTTCGATCCAGGAAGTAGACTCCTTCGATTCACCCTTCTTTTGCTTTCTTTCGATTGAACTTGGGAGTTGACAGGAGAAACCTTTCGTTGCACCCTTTCCCGCTTCTTTCGATTGTGCTTGGAGTTGGTATGAGCAACCTTCGATTGCACCCTTTCCTGCTTCTTTCGATTGAGGTGTGAGCAACCTTCGATTACGACCTTCTCTGCATCTTTCGATTAGACTATGAATCAATATGGACCTGCTAAGAAGCATGAGTGTATATCCTTCATTCACACCCTTTTATCTTTCATTTGAGTCTGTACAGCTTAGTTCCAACATATATGTGGACAAGAAAAGCAAACAAACAAAAAGAACAGAAACGAAGAATATAACTAAAAGGCTATTTACGTGTTATGCTAAAACGAAAAATAAGTGAAAGGCTATTTACATGTTATGCTGAAACGAAAAATAAGTGAAAGGTTGTTTATATGTTATGCTAAAACGAAAAGCAAGGGAAAAACTATCTACATATTATGCTGAAATGAGAGATGCAAGGTCAAGAGGACTTACCTTGCTTGAAACTGGAACTTGTGTGTGGACTGGAGTTATTGGATGCTCTTGGATTCTAAAAGAGAGAGGAAAGTGTGGTGTGATTTTGTTGACTTTTGAGAATTTTTGGTATACTTCTCTTAGGTTGTGTATGCGTGTAAGGCAATATATGTGTAGTTCCCGGGTCTCTGTCTCTAGTCTTCTGGCGAATGTTTCTAGTCCCTTGGAGAATGTGTGTGGCTTTGTATTTATATGGATGTGAGGGTGCATGGAAATGGCAAGGGACATCCATTTAACAAGGCTTCGAAGGCCATGAGACAAGAATCCAATACATTGAATATTGGCCATATTTGGATAATTCTTACCATTTTGAAATATTGAGTGAACCTGGACACATTTGACTCTTTTGAATACCTTCCAGCCTTGCTCTTCGATTTGCCCATGAGTTGCCTCCTTCGAATGGCTCTAGTTTCGTCTTTATAGCTCCTTCGATTGAGTCCATCCTCATCAATTCAAATTGCTCAGATCTTTGATGACTCTGAATTCCAATTGTTCAGAGTTTTCCCTTGTCAAAGTTTCTTCAATTAATTCTTCATCTGCATCAATTCGAATTGCCCAGAATTCTCTTCGTCAGAGTATTGTTCTTTTTGATGATTTTGAATTTCAATTCGAGCCTGTTCAGAGTTTCCCCTATCAGGGCTTCTTCAAAAGCCCCTCAGATCTTTACTTTTCGATTGACTCTGGATCTTCTCCTCATGGTTCCTTCGATTGGACCCATCTATTTTCCTTAGTTGCTTGATTCTGGAGAATTCAAATAGCCCAAACGAGAACTTCATTCTGGCCAGTCGAAGCCTCTTTTGTCACTTCCTTCGAATGACATTGCGCAGGAGGCTTGTGCCTGGAAACCTATAGGACTAAGACTCATCATAAGACAAACTTGGTTTCAATAATTATGTGTCTCCTTTGAATGGCCACCAATATGTGTCCTTTGAATAGACCTTTGGAGTGCACGTTTTAAGGGGTCATATTGTGTGTCATAGTGTTGAAACTGTGTTGAGGGGTCTTGGTCTTGTGCATTGAAAGCAAGCACAAAGGAAGTCTTTGCCTTATGCGTTGAAGAAAATCATAGAAGAAGCTTTTGCCCTTGTGAATCCCAGACAAGTCTGAGGAAGCCTCTGCCTTGTGGATCTAAGGCCAGTTGAAAGGAGCCTTTGACTTACTGAATCCAAGTCAAGCATGAAGAGGCCTTTGCCTGGTGAGTCGAAGGTTGCATGTAATGGCCTTTTGCCTCGTGAAGCAAAATAAACACACAGGAGGCCACTGCTGATGAATCGAAGAGAACTTGTAGGGGGTTCTTGTCTAAATAAAACTTGGACCAAGGCTTGCTCGAAGGGGAACCAACGTGCAAGCTGATGGGCCAATGCTTGATCGAAGGGTTTTAAATGCCCGATCAAAGCTTGTAGACACATATCGCTCAAAGGGTCCCAAACGCCCAATCGAAGCTCTTTGTCCAGATGTCAATCGAAGGACATCCTGTTCAGATGCCAATCGAAGACACCTTTGTTCATCTTCAAAAAAATATGTTTTCTTTCATCAAGTGTTTGTAACCATCTATGTAAGAGGCAATCTTGGAGAACATGAGAGGGAAAATTTTGGGTTACAACACCTACGCTACAGTTGAATCTGGCCTGTGCAATTGTGACTGACAAACCCACAAGAACACGCTCGTTCTTGAAGGACAAACCCTCTGGTTTTTCCTCGAAACCCCCTTCTAAATCTTCAACTCAGCTAAGATCACCGATCATGTCGCTGAACATTATCTCTATGATCCCTTGATCCAATGAACAAAGATGATTATGTTTTGATGTTATTGAACCAAGATGATTGAGAAGATGATGAAGATGAAGTCTCTTTCAGGTTTCTAATGCTCAGAAAAGTATATGCACACCAACTGAATTTGTGACACCTCACTTTATTATTGAATTGCAAAACTGACTTATATATGTAACAGAAAAATGTTAGAAGTAAAACCGCAGTATGAGTCGATGCATATCTCATATGAGTCGACTCATGTTAGTTATAAAACATGAGATGGGTCGATACAATGCATTATGTATCAATACATAGTGTTATCAAAACATATTACAGAGAGACAAAATATGTATGAGTCGATGCAAAACACGAATGTGTCGATGCAACCAAGAAATGAGTTGATGCAAACCATTATATATTGATACAAACGGTTGTCCACACAGAATCCAGAACCTTTAATTTCGTATGAGTTGATACAAAATGTGAATGTGTCGATTCATACTGAGTTGGTTTTTGATTTCCAAAAACAAGAAGTGATATGTATCGATGCAAAAGTGCACGTGTCGATGCATAAAGGTTTTTAAAATATTTTCCAGAAGTATGGACTTGACATGTATCGATACAAAGTGCGAATGAGTCGACTCATACTGAAGCACAATTGTTTTTGTGATTTTAGCTAAAGTATGTGTTGATGCAAAACATTTTGTATTGACCTGAAATCATGATACATGTGTAAAACACATTTTTGATCCTTTTAGAACATGCTATAGTATTATCATATCATGCACACATAGAGATCAAACACAATAAACATTAATTAATACTTATATCACACATATTTGCTATCATACAAAACTACTCAAAGAAAAGGGTTGCTCACCGTTTGAATACTCTAACACATTCATGTAATTTATATATGCCAAACTTGCTTAAGAATATATTGAACACATTTGTTCCTCTTGTTTACATTTACTGTACTTCAAAAGTCATTATTGATTTTCAATGCATATGAACACAGTAGTTACTAATTTACGTTGAGTTTCAAGGTTCGCTGCAACGTAATTCTAAGAGGCATAAATTAATTTACCTTTTTGTTTGGTATGTACAATATAATTACTTAAAAACTTTTTAAATTAATAATTATTAATTTATCGATAAATTAATAATTCTCTAAATTAATAAGTTTCTTTTGTCCTGACATTATTAATTTAAAGAATTTCTCCTGTATGAATTAATATGGTTGATTCGAATAGAAGAGCTCGTAAATACAATTTTGAAAATCTATTATCCTAATTAATTAAGATCAAATTTTATTGATTTAATTCAGTTTTTACTCGACTTAAAAATAATCCGACTCAAATACGATAATTTAATTTAAATTTCAATTTAATTCCGATCTATCTTACTAAGAAGTATCAATATTGGATAAAAAATTTCCAAAATGATTGAGGTTATGAAAAGAAATCGGTCAAAAATGGGCTTACAAAGAAGCAACGGTCCAATTTTACTTTTGTCCATATCTTATGTCAGGAATCTTACTATTTTCAATGTTTTTGTCTTTTAATCTCTATGCATCTTATCTTGTTTTATACTAATAACTCCAATCTTCCACCTTCACTACCTCCTTAAATCTATATAGAATTTTCTCTCATAGCTATGGTTTGTGTAACTTTAAAGAAATGAGAGGAAAAGGGAGTTAAAATTGAGGGAAGGTTTAGGCATGGGGGTGTAGGAAAGAAAATGTAATAATATATGCAGTTATGTTGTGCTGCTTATTCTTACCTACCCCTTACTTTCTGCACCATTTTCAATTTGGTAAGTAACACTAACACTATCTTCCTTCATTATTTTCTGTATATTGATTTCTGTTTTTTATTTTTTTTTTAAAATTTAATTTTGCATCTTAATATATAGTCATATTTATTTTCTGGGTAGTAGACGTGTTAATTGGAATTATTTCTGATTCCAAAGAAATATAGATCTTAGAAAATCAGTAAGAAAAACATAGATCCACTTTTTAATAAAATTGACAAAAAATATATAGATCCTGGAATTATTTCTTGATTTATGCAGTTTGTTAATCTCGTGATAGCGTTATAGTAATATTAGAGTTTTTATAATATATGTTTGGTTGAAAAGAGGGAAGGGGAGGAGAGATGAAAGATTTTTATAAGTGAACAAATAACCATAAAAATAAAAAAATTATAGTAATTATTATTTATATTAAATAAAAAAAATTAAAAAATTAAAAAAATTATAATAAATTGATAGAAGTAATAGAGAAAATAATAAAACAAATAAGTAAAAATATATATGAGAATAATTAACGATATTCCATCTACGAAATTACAACTGTTAACATAATTTCATCTGACCCATGCATCATCAACATTACATCGCTGTCTGTTTTGACTTCCTCCAAACACACATTAGGTCTTCCTGTCGCATGTGAGGTTGTTGTTCGTTTTCGCTGGATCCTTCGAAAGAAACGGACGAACAACAACCTCACATGCGACAGGAAGACCTAATGTGTGGTTGGAGGAAGTCAAAACAGACAGCGATGTAATGTTGATGATGCATGGGTCAGATGAAATTGTGTTAACAGTTGTAATTTCGTAGATGGAATATCGTTAATTATTCTTGTACGCGTTTTATTAATTGTAGCAAAATCTGTTAATGAAAAACCCAAATGTCTACAACACAATTAAGGAAAGATTTTATGTATTACAATTTTTATGTGGTCGAGGCAGACGCCCGATTCAGACAGTTTTTGCGATTGTGTCCAACCTGACGGCATAAACCACACTTTCTTTCCAACCTGTCAAGATCGTCCATTTCTGTTGTGATGCGCTTACTTTTGGGACGACCCTTCTTGTTCCTTCGAATTTGGTCATTGTGCCACACTATTTCGTCGTCGTATGCAGGCAAATAATCTGGTTTTGCTACCAAAGGAAAGTTGTTATTGTAAATGTTGAGCAACGTTTCAAATTTGTAAATGTTTGACAGAAGTTGCAGCGCGTCTTGATGGGTATGAGCACAAGCGGCAATGACATGAGAGCAAGGCATACGAAATGCTTGAAACCTGCCACAATCGCACCATTGAGAAGGTAGTATGACCCTATATTCTTGTCTTGGCAGGCCTTCATTGTGGTCGATTGTCTCTTTCACAATGAAGTTGTGGCTGTGTCGGTCAAACCGTATAACCATATGAGTGTTGGCTTTAGCACTTTCAGCCTTAATGTATTTCATGCAGCTTTCACTCCATAGTTGTCTAGATTGCAACACCGCATTCCATATTTCACCTCTTTTGGCAAATAACGCAGCCATCCTAAAATACGTAGATTTTACCAAGGCAATGATTGGGAGGTTTCGTATGCCTTTGAATACCCCATTCATTGATTCAATAAGATTCGTTGTCATATGCCCCCATCTTTGGCCATTGTCGTATGACCTAGTCCATTTTTCCACCGGAATATTGTCGATCCACCTACCGGCTTCCGGATTTGACAAACGAATCTTGTTGAGGTAATATTTGAATGTGGGTTGTGTCAATGCATATCCCGCATTCATAACCGCTTTCCTCAATGTTTTGTCCTTGATCTCCCTCGAGAAATTCTGGACGATATGCCTAACGCAATAGACATGCGTAGAAGGAGGGTCATGCCAACCGTTTGCAGGATTATTGTAGGCACTTTCAATGGAACTTACACAAGTGTGGGTAGTCATGGAACCTATGACCCAGCAGTGACCCCTTAATCTGTATGATGCGGTCAGCTTGAACATACAGTCAGGGTGGACACACTTGATCTTGTACCTTTCCGGGTTGACACGGTCCACCTTAAAATCAACCGAGTTGAGCATGTGGAATTTTTTAATGGCCCTGATGCATTCCTCTCTGTTACGAAACTTGTCCTTCTCTTTTAAATTTTCATCTGACTGCATATACGGATTGAAAAATAAGTCAGTAGAAGGTTCATCTCCGCCCATGTTGAAGTTTGTCATGTGCGGAGGTGGTGTGTAGATTTCGTTTGCAGGAATACTAGGGATGCCATCATCGTCGGAATCATCATTCACCATTTCATCAAACTCTAACTCGTCATCTTCTTCTTCATCATCAACTGCATCTACCTCAGCTTGTTCATTCTCCAAAGGATCAACCTCTTGTGTCACCTGAGGCTCTCGCAGCATAACGTACAACTCAATAGAGTCGTACCCAGAATAAACATGGCTGGAAAACATATTCTGGAGATCCTCGTCATCTTGAACTTCAACCTTATAAAAAATTACATGGTTGTTTCCAAAAAAAACTGGATTCTGATAAAATATCTGGGACACCGGGCCTCGTTCAAGTTTGGCCTCCAATCGTTTTTTGAAGTACGAGAAATTGGCTTTCCCGTTTAAGAGAAATTGGATGTTGTCTGTTTCTCTAAACAAAAACTCAGCGGTGGTACAAATGTATGTCTCACCGTTAAAATGTGCTTTGACGACAAATTATGGTGCAGAGACCATTGCATAGAATTGTTTGAAGGTTTGAAGGTTGGAATGTTTGAATTTTATGAGTGATTCGAAGGTTGGAATGTTTGAAGTTTATTGATTGTATGAAGGTTTGAATGCTGTAAGGTTTGAAGGTTGGAATGTTTGAACTTTATGAGTTATTCGAAAGTTTATATGTTTGATTGTTTGAAGGTTTGAAGGTTTGAAGGTTTGATTGTAAGAACGTTTGAAGGTTGGAAGATTTGACAGATTAAGTGAATCAATGTTATGATAAACGTAAGACTAAAAATTTCAATTAAGTAAGGATGCAACCCCCAAGGCTGCCAATAGTGTTACATGCAGGGCATCCCAAAGGCTGTCACGTAGCCTGAGCCTAGCCTGCAACAAAGGACACCTCTTATTCGCCAATTGGGATGGCGACACCATTTATTTTTGTACTCTTTCGCCAAGTCCAATGGCGCCTCCCTTATTGTCCAATCGTGATACATGCATGCAGATATGTAACCCCCTAGGCTGCCACCTAGCCTGCGCCTACTATGCACCTATACTGTATGTTGTAAGTCTCCTCCCATCATCTCCAATGGGGTTACATGCATTCAGGCAAGGCATCTCAAAGCCTGTCACGTAGCCTGAGCCTAGCCTGTAACAAAGGACACCTCTTATTCGCCAATTGGGATGACGACACCATTCATTTTTGTACTCTTTCACCAAGTCCAATGGCGCTTCCCTTACTGTCCAATCGTGATACATGCATGAATATATGTAACCCCCTAGGCTGCCACCTAGCCTGCGCCTACTTTGCACCTATACTGTATGTTGTAAGTCTCCTCCCATCACCTCCAATGGGGTTACATGCATTTAGGCAAGACATCCCAAAGGCTGTCATGTAGCCTGAGCCTAGCCTGCAACAAAGGACACCTCTTATTCGCCAATTGGGATGGCGACACCATTCATTTTTGTACTCTTTCGCCAAGTCCAATGGCGCCTCCCTTACTATCCAGTCGTGATACATGCATGTAGATATGTAACCCCCTAGGCTGCCACCTAGCATGCGCCTACTCTGCACATATACTGTATGTTATAAGTCTCCTCCCATCACCTCCAATGGGGTTACATGCATTCAGGCAAGGCATCCCATAGGCTGTCACGTAGCCTGCAACAAAGGATACCTCTTATTCTCCAATTGGGATGGCGACACCATTCATTTTTGTACTCTTTCGCCAAGTCCAATGGCGCCTCCCTTACTGTCCAATCGTGATACATCCTTAGGCTGCCACCTAGCCTGCAAGAGTGACACCTTTCATTTTTTGTACATGCATGCATGCATATATGTAACCCCCTAGGCTGCCACCTAGCCTGCAAGAGTGACACTTCACATGCATGCAAGCACCAACAACCACTATATGAAATTTTTTTGCCTATAAATACATACCATATCATACATCTCTCACACCCACACAAGTCTCACTCTCTGCTACGAAATCTTTCATAATCTCTTACACTTTCTAAGTCTTTCATACTCTCTATCTCTTCCTAAGTCTTTCATAATCTCAAGCATTTTAAATAATGGCTCTTCTAACAATGGGCGATACTCACAGAGGCACAAGGTAAAACATTGCCGCATTTGTAAGTTTCTATTTTGGTTATACATTTTTCATACATTAGATAATGCGTTGTTCGTCTTACTTAATCTTACACATGTTACATTATGAACTCAGGACACAAAAAGATTCAGAATCCGTTCTCACAACTATCTGGCTCCCGACCCATTTATTGTACCATATCTGGAATACGCAGGTTTTGGACATGTCATAAAGATCTCCAACTGCACCATTGACTCGAAGTTCATTCTTGCAATGTTGGAAAGGTGGAGACCAGAGACCCATACATTTCACCTACCAATAGGTGAATGTAACATCATGCTAGAGGATGTGTACATGCTACTAGGTCTCCCTGTCGACGGTAAGGCCGTGAACGGGTCGGTTCAACAACCCAACTCTCAGTGTGAAGAACTGTTGGGCAGGGATATGGTAGAAGGTGGTGGTGCGAGAGGTCAGGGAATACTACTCACTGAGCTGAAAAGTCATTATGGAAGTTTGGAATTAAACGAAAATTCCTCCGAGAATGACAGGGTAGTAAAAGCCAGAACTTATCTTATGATACTATTTGGTACCTTTTTATTTCCCGAAAGTACGGGAAATAGTGTAAATTTTATGTATTTACATTTACTAAGAAATTTTGAAAAAACAAGAAAATATAGTTGGGGTTCTGCAGTTTTAGCTCACCTATACAGTTCCTTGTGCAAAAATGCAGTCAAGGAA